GAGAGAGAGAGAGAGAGAGACAGACATTGACGTGAGAAGGACACATCTATTGCTTGCCTCCAGCATGTGCACAACTGGGGCCGGGGATGGAGCCTGCAACCAAGGTACGTGCCCTTGACTGGGAATCGAACCCGGGAGCCTTCAGTCCACAGGCCAACACTCTAACCACTGAGCCACATCGGCCAGGGCAATAGTTACTTTTAGTGTAAAAACTAAAATAAAGCTCTAAGGATCATCATTAACTACAAAATAAACCCACAGAAAGGTAGCATAGGTAAAGGACTGTGATGCTTTAAAGGGCTGGGAGGCTTCAGAGTGACAGTCCCCTGGGAATGTCTGAGCTTAGGCTGCCGGAAGCATGGGGAGGAAACTCAGAGAGCCACAGCTGCCCAGTCATTCTATGGTTGTAATGTCTTTACTTCTTGGACAGGGCAGTAACTTATCTGATATGTTACAGTGCAGTCTAGCAAGAAATGCAGATATGCTGATAAAAGACATTTTTAATCTATGAAGGGCAAGGGGCTGGCAAAGGAGGAGTCCACACAAGAAATGTTTTGTTGAAAATTTTACGTAACCACACTTAACCCAGATTTCAACAATATGTGACACCAGAGGGCTTAGAAGCCACCTCCCGAAGAACCCTGCTGACACACCAAGATCCCAGGGATCTGTAATAAAAGCCTGGGCTGTTCTCTGAAATGTTTCCCACCATGGTTTTTTTTAATGTAGTTTGGAAACAACAAAAGTCATGAATAAATGCTTTAGGAAGGTCTATACCTGTAACCTTAAAATAGAATCCTTATCTATTTTAAATTACGGAGTTAATTTAAAATTAACACCACATATAATGAGGTTTTATGCCACTTGCTTAGAAACTGGGCATCTTTGACTCCTGTTGACCTCACCATGTGGCTAAGCTCTATCATTTCTCTGCAGTCCCTTTTCTCTGGAAATTCTGAGCCCACACATATAATGATCTTTACTGAGTTGACCTCCTTCTTTCTGGATCCACTCACTATTTAGCTCCCTTCAAACATCACACAAAAATACTCATGTGGAGACAACGGACCTCCTTAAAAATCACACTAAGACTTCATTTAACTTGCCGTTTTCTTCGCTGTGTGATTTCGCTAGGCCAACTCCCTTCCTTGGAACGTGAAGAGATTAGACCATGTTGTTTCCAAGATGCGTCACCAGCTTTCAGACTCTAGGTAGTTTAGTCTCCTTTTTACCTGACTGTGATGCTCTGCTGGTGGGCGAAGGCTTCCGAGCGGGGACATTGGGCTGAGACTCTGCTCCACTTTCAACGCAGGAAGGGACACTGAAGTCACTCAGCAGCTCAGGCTCACTCTCCCACTCTGAGTGACTTGGATTATCTCCCAGGACCTATTTGCAAAATAATATAAAGAAAGTTGCATAGAAATTTAAAACTGCAATTAATTTCCATGAACTTAATTCCTGACCATCACAAGCACCATAAAGAAACCACTCTGGACAATTGCCATTGCTCACTGAGCCCCTGAGACCCAAAGACCTTCCCTGGGCCACAGCTCCCAGGCAGCTTCCTGAGCATTTCTTGGAGAAGAGCTGTGGACAAGGGTGAGCCAGGACACCACCGGGCTTCCTTCTCCCTGGAACTACCATCTCTCTTAGATCTCATATCCACAACACAGTGTTGACAATGACTTCACACACACGGCCGCCTCCCTTTACCAAGTCTACCTGGGAACCGTTGCTCCGTGTCTTGCTAACTCCATTCCTCCTGCCTGGACTATACTCCCTTCTCCTCTCCAGCTCATTAGTGATGCTATCACACCACCCTTCCAATGGCCTTCTTCAGTCATTTCTCATTTCCTCGGACTCCTGTGGCACTTACTGTTTAAAACACTTAACTGAAAAGGGTATACTATCTCACACCGTTTAACTTTTCACACATGTATTGTTGGAATGGTGGTTAAAATGTCCCTAAGAAAGAGCAGCTGGCCCTGGCCAGTGTGGCTCAGTTAGTTGGGCACTGTCCCGTGCACCAAAGTGTTGCCAGTTTGATTCCCGGTCAGGGTACATGCCTGGGTTTTGGGCTCAGTCCCCAGTGTGGGGTATGCAGGAGGTGGCCCATCGATGTTTCACTTGCACTGATATTTCTCTCTCTCCCCCCTCCTCTTCCTTCCTCCCTCTAAAATTCAATAAAAAATCTTCAGTCCTTGAGAGTAAGTATCAAAGTTCATCCAACTTGCCTTTCTCAGCACTGGCATCCTCCTGACCCCAAATAAAAGATATCACGGCACAGTTACAAAGCAGTCAAAGCAACTGCTATAAATATAGCTGCTCTGGGGGATGGGGAGGGGGATTGTGAGGCACCCAGACTTATTTTTCTTCACATACAGGCTTCTGAGAAGAAATGACAACTGAGCTGAATCTTGAAATGCCAGGTAAAGGAAGCAGGTATTCCAGGCAAAAGGAAAAACATTCAAAGAAAATTTTAATAGTACAATTATAGATACTCCTTAAGCTTCTATTTAGAACTTAACCAAGTATTTCTTTGTCTCAACTAGTTAAATAAGAAGTCAAAATCAATTACGGAGTCTAGAGCTGTGGCCTTGCCCTTCCGGACATAAGAGCAACAACCTCATTGACAATCCTCCGATGAACATCACGAACCCAGATGAGGCTGAGCCTGTCTCCATCTCAACACCTCACTGGTGTATCTTTCTTCCCCACTTCTCGGATTGTGATTTACCGCAGCTTTCCTCCTACTGGTGTAAGCCGGATTTTCACAATATGCCTGCTTGCTCTTCTGAAGGTAGCGCTTCCAGAGGTTATGTAAAACCCGATTCTGCGGTGGAAGGAAATGAGTGAGAGTCCCGGTTATGGTGACAAATACACTGGCACATCTAAACACAGAATCTCTGTACGTGTTGCCCTCCAATTCTGTGTTCTTACCTACTTCCCTTAACCAGCAGTCTCACCAAATGCACCACTGTCACACACACGCTTCTGGTGTTTCATGTTTTTGAGTTTCTAATTCCTATAGTGTCCCTATCAGGGCAGGCCAGCATCTTCTCAGCCATGCACGGTCTAGAGGTCACCTGGTTCAGCTGCTGCAACAGCAAAGGCTCCTCTACAGATCTCTCCTTGGTGACTTCAGTCCAGACTGATCTCCCTCCCTTCTCTTTTTGCCCTTAATGTCACTTATGAACATACTGTTGTATGATTTGTTTACTCATCCCACCATGCACAAAACCCTTTCTCCAACTAGGCTGGCTCCTCACACTTGGTTTCCAATGATGGACGTGAAGCAAGTGCATGGTAACTACTGTTGCTAAATAACTGGCTTTTAAAGAATTGTTGAAATGGCTTCAACTAGAGGAGGAAATAGGAAATTCAAGTAATAGGGATACTCCTGAGAGGCAAGAGTCAACATACGGTTCCTGGACCAGCCATATCAGGGACTCCTGGGAACTTGCTAGAAATGCAAATTCTTGGGCCCTACTCCAGACCTGCTGAACCAGAAGCTCTGGAATGGGGCCCAGCGATCTGTGTGTTAACAAGCCCTACAGGGGATCCTACACAAATTCAAGTTTGAGCCCCGCTGGTTTCATGTATCCCTCCCCAGAGAGCACTCTGGACCGCGAGTCCTGATAGGTGCTGCACACCCCCAAGGACTCTGCTCTCAGATTGTGAAGAATGCACAGTACTGCACTCCGTCCCCTCAGAAACGAAACAAGCACATGAACACATAAAGGCTCCAGCGAGTCTGCAAAGTTCCTTGTTTTACTTTGTTTAAGCCAATGTTTCCTACATATCTGACAACAAACCTTTCTTATTTTCTTTTAGCTACACTGCTTATTTACATCCTGTAGGATGCATTTTGGGAACTGCTGGTCTAATGAAAGGATTAAAGCAAAATATCAGAAAAAGGGTTCTTCTGGCAGCCCCACTGCTTCACTGGTAACTCCACTTTTCGCCTTAGTTTCACTCCAAATTTCACTGCTCTTCAAATGACAAACTGTAAAGTTGACATCTAGACACACATGGTCTCACCTTTAATTCTGGGCCGACGCCCAGGGTCTTCAAGGCTTCTGCTTGTTGATAAAGGATGTGCTGGAAACCTTCACACACGTACCAATCCCAGCCTTTCTCTGAAGGACAAATAACAGGTTTCAGATATGTGCATTCCTAATTCACCCACTGTGTGCTGCGCCACGGTTACAGTGGAGTTTTACCTAATTGACTCACTGTGCTGCTCCACAGTTACAGCTGAGTTTCACCTAATTGACTCACTGTAGCTGCTCCTCAGTTACAGCTGAGTTTTACCTAATTTACTCACTGTAGCTGCATCTCAGTTACAGCTGGGTTTTACACATTGCAACTGGAATTTTTTTGTATCCCTGTATAGGATTTCCATTCTTACATTCTCTTGTTTCCACATGGCAAATTTGTTTTTTTGGTTTTTGTTTTTTTTTTTAAATATATCTTTATTGATTTTGGAGAGAGGAAAGGAGAGGGGGAGAAAGAGAGCGACAGAAACATCAATGATGAGAAAGCCATTGATCGAGCCCGCAACCCAGGCATGTGCCCTGACCGGGAATCGAACCCCGATGGCCTGGATCCTAGGTCGACACGCCTGGCCAGGCACACATGGAAAACTTGTAACAAATGTTAAAGCTAAACATTATTTTTATAACTGATCAGATTTTATATCATGTGTGCCCTTGGAGCTCCTCATGCAGAAAGAGCTGTAATAAGTCTGGTTTCAGACTCAAGCATCTGGTCCTAAGTCATTAGTCACAGAACTCAAAAGCGTCAGAGAGACTTCACCTCAGATTCTTCTCAATAGTGGCTAATTATACACACTCACTGGATTAATGAAACAGCCTACCTTTCAAAGCACACCCATGCTGAGGCTATTTTAAGGGAAAATAATCTTCCCTATTTTAAAAGGGTGTGTTCAAAATTCAGTGTGAGAAATGGATTTCTAAAAGTTGAACGTCAGGTTTAATGTGCCTAACCTGACAATTCCAGCTGAACCATTTCAGAAAAAAAGCATTTCCCTCTGAAGCACAGAAAATCATATTCATGACAGATGACAAATAAAGAATAGGAGAATATATGACAACAGGTAAGAGGAGATATGCTCCTTTTGTTATTATTTCTTTTTGCATAATAGTTGCTCCATCGGAAAAGCAACTCGACAATAAGCAGGGTAAAGAAGGACATGCTTTAAGACACCTGCTTCCAATCTTTCCATCAATCAAACCTACTGCAATCGCACTGTGGACTGATTGCCTGCTTAAAATTCTGGCAGCTTCTTTAGATCTATTTAATATTCCATTCCGCATCCCCAAATCACAAAAGTGAAAATCATGACTGAAGAATGCTTAGCACACGTGAAGAAAGAGCTTACCAAGTTTTTTTTTTCTTTTAAGTCCCCGGTTGATGGCTTGTATTTTAGTATTAGGAATAGCCTCAGTGTTTAAAACTTCCTTGGATCTCTGCAAGAAACAGAAACATACCATTAGAAAGATAGCTTTACATCTCTCTAAATATATTTCCAAGCATCTTCTGGAAAAACAACGAACCAAATTATGAGTGCCAGAACCAATAAAGATAACATTTTGGGAAAATTACATAAATTGGAACATTCTAGCCTTCTTGTTGCTCTCTCATTCAAAATTACTCAGTACCTAAAACAGTGCCTGGAATATAGTAAATACTGAATAAATGCCTGCCAAATGAATATACTTTTATTTCAAATCACTTTTTAATTTTTCAAATCAAACCTAAAGTCAAATATATTCATTTTTTCTGCACCCAAAACCTACTTTGGAATTAAAATAATTTCTGTATTTATTGCAATCAGCAATGCCTAAGCTACAGATCTTACTGTTCTGTATCTGAATAATACTCTAAAACAGCTTTACTTATGAAATTATAAAAGTACTACGTTTTATTTTTTATCAAATTTATAGGATTTTGGAATGACTAAATGGTGAGTATAGTTCATCCCAAAGTCTTCAATTTCAAGTGCTGTCAGGGCCTGGTACCTAAAATATTCCAGCTCTCCCTCTCTCTCCGTCTCTCTCTCTCTCTCTCTCACATACACACACACAAGCATTGTCTTTTTTTACTTTACAAATGTCTTTGATTGCATGTATATTTCCCGTTACATCCATTTTCCAAACCTCTAAGCTACCACAACACATTAAAAACTCTTATATAAGTATTAAAAAGAAATGCATCCTATTGTAAGTACAATTTTAATTATTTCCCTTTAGTCTGAATCAAGAAATCATTTATATATATGGCCCAACATCATTACAAAAACTCATGGTAAATCTAATTTACAAATTCCTTCGCCCTTGTGTGAGCCCCTGAAGACTGCTTTCATTCTTGGCATTGGGGCACTGCAAAATCGATAAAAATAGATCAATTCTTTGTCCCCTATCAGGCTGAAACTGCAACTTTTAAAATATAAGCACATCCATAGGCGAGACCTGTTACTTACTTCCGTAACATTGTGGCAAGAAGTACAGTAATATTTGCCTTCATCAGTAAGACCCCACGAGACAGCAGCACACTGAGCGCAGCGCTCTCTGAACTCTTTCTGCAGGAGGAGAGGAAACCGCGTTCGGTGAGTGGTACCTAAGCCCTGCGGCTCTACCCGGGAGATGACAAAGTCACAGAAACCGGGAAGGATGCGCGAGAGGCTCTCCGCCAGCGACGAGCGCAGCGGTTCCCTTCCTTGACCAGTTTGAAACGGAGTTAAACGGCTAGAGAAAAGTTCCTAAAATATGCAGTGGCTGAGGGGGGAAAGAAACGGAGAAAAGGTGGTAGGAGTAAAACGGGAAAAAGTCGCGTAAATGCTGCGATGAAAAGAAATGACAGCATTTAGGCAGAGGGAAGGCTCAAAAAAATGGGCAGAGCGCGCCGCCCGGAACCCCCTCCGGACCGCGCCGGGCGGGCTGCGCGCGGGGGAGCCAGGCTTCCACCCGGGGGGTCTCGGGTCCCGGTTTCCCCATTCTAGGGAGTTCCGGCCGTGCACGCGCCCCGCACGCGCCCAGAGGCCAGGACCCCACGGGGCGCCGAGGGG